AGAGACGGGATTTCACCATGTTGGCCAAGCTGGTCTCAAACTCCTCACCTCAAGTGATCCACCAGCCTTGGCCTCCAAAAATGCTGTGATTATAGGCATCTCACGTGGCCAGTACACCACTTTTTCCTTTTTGTTTTGTCTGGCTTTTCTCGGGGGGAGACAGGGTCTTACTCTGTCACCCAGGCTAGAGTGCAGTGGCTGTCTCCGCATCCTGGGTTCAAGTGATTCTTGTGCCTTAGCCTCCCCAGTAGCTGGGACTACAGGCACCCGTCAATACACCTGGCTAATTTTTTTTGTATTTTTAGACAGGGTTTCACCATGTTGCCCAGGGTGGTCTTGAACTGCTGACCTCAAGTGATACACCCACTTTGGCCTCCCAAAGAGTTAAGATTATAGGCATGAGCCACTGCACACGGCACTTTTTGCTTTTTGAAAACAGCTTTATCGAGGTATAATTTGCATAGCATAAAATTCACTCATTTGAAGTGTACAATTTTAGAATTTTGTAACCATCACCACAACTTAATTTTAGATCATTTTCGTGAGCCCCAAAATATCCCTTGTACTCATTATCCTATTTACTTCTTTATTCTATTCTGGACTTCTGGACAGATATTTAGGTTGTTTCTAGTTGTCGTTGTTGTTTTGCTGTTTCAACATCTATGCTACATAGACATCCTTGTACATGTGTCTTGGAATATATGTTTGAGAGTTTCCCCAGGGTTATATTTCTGACAATATAATTTCTAGATCATTAGGGTAGGCACAAGTTCACCTTTACTAGATAACACTAAACTGTTTACCAAAATGTTTGCACCAATTTGCAGTTCCATAAATGTGGAAGTTGTTCCACAAGATCCTTGGCTACACCTGAGATTGTTCTGTTTGGAGTTTTGGAGAGGCTAGCATAGGTCCTGCTTTGCTTTATGAGTGACAGATAAGAAGACCAAAACTTAGAGAAAGGTGGAGACATTCAAGTTTATTAGAGTTTGGGGTCCTGTGCTTTAAGAGCTTTTCCTTGGCCATTAGCCCACTGCCCCAGATTCATAACAAGGCAAGTGCTTAATCTCACTCCATCTTACAGGGCATTGTAGGAAAGAACCTAAGCCCATGGACCTGGCAGACTGCCTGGGCTCAGATCCTCCTTGCTACTTACTAATTATGTAACTTTGGGCAAGTTATTCTCTGTGACTTAGTTCAGTCAGATGAGAATGATGATATTCCTTTGACTTAGGGTTGTTAGGAATATTGATACATAAAGTGCTTAGAAGACTCCCTGGCTGTTAATTAGTTGTCTTCCTTGTCTTTCTTCACAAAGGTACATGCTTTCAGGAATCCTCAACTTTGAAGACTGGCCACATCAGGCCAGCTGTGGGCCTTCGCTTTGAGGTGGGGCCTGGAGCAGCTGTTCATTCCCCTCTGGCCTCACAAAATGGCTTTCTACATTTGCTACTTCGTGGCTGTGACCTCGAGCTGCTCACTTCGGTGCTCAATGGCCTGGGGCCCTTCTTGGAGGATGAGGAGATCCCGGTGGTAGTCCCCATGCAGATTGAGCTCGTGAACTCCAGCATCACCCTAAAGGTGTGAGGGACGTTTGGTTTTTGCCAAAGTAAGGGCACACTGGTTTTTGCCCTGGACTTTGTCAAACAAGGAAGCAGTGACAGCTGTTAACCTCTTTCTTTTTCACTGTAAAATGTGGTGAGGAAATATTAATACATATTTGCATTCTCTATCAGTGTTACAGTGGTTTATAAATTTATGTTGCTGTCAAAAAAGCCAGGGTTCAGGTGGGGAGACCTAGTCTCTAATCCTAACCCTGTCTTTGACATGCAGCATTATCATGTGCAAGCCATCAGGTTATCTGATCCTCAGTTTCACCATCTCTAGATGGGAGAATTTGTTATGCCTCTTATACCTTCCAAGAATGTATGGAGAAACTGGCATAAAGCTGCTTTAAGCCGAATGATGGGAGCATGGGTTGCGTTAGATTGCTCTAAGCTGGTGGGGGCATCGTGTGGTTTCCCTCTTTCCTACAGGATGATATCCCCCCCATCTATCCAACATCTCCAGGCCCCATCCCCATCACTCTGGCCATGGAACATGTTGTGCTAAAGAGGAGTGATGATGGTGTGTTCCACGTAGGCGGTGAGTCAGGCTTGTCAGCCTGTTGGTTTCTCTGCCTTTTTTTTTTTTTCTCCTAAAAGTGAATAGCTGACACCTAGGAACTGTTTGGGAGCTGGCAGCAGTTTTTCACTTAGAACCTTTACTTGTTTCCTCTAGCTGCTGCTCAGGACAAACCATCAGGTGAAGTACTTAAAAGTGAGAAGAGACATCCTCCAAAAGAACAAGTGTTTTTGGTGCCCACAGGAGAGGTTTTTGAACAGCAGGTGAGGACCTAACAGAAGAGTACCTGCCCATAACTCTTGGGGGCTATAAATGCAAAGCTGGTAAAACCCGGGGTGGGAAGCAAAAAGGTTGCATGTGCTGTGTGCATGTGGGTGTTTTGGGTTCCTGTCCCCTAGCAGCAGTTTCCAGAAGTGCTGACTAGAGGATGAAGGTCAGGAGCTGGAGATGAATGGTTGCTGAGGACGTGCTGCACCTGCCAGTGAATTCTGAAGAGGGAATAGTTATCTTGATCATTGACCTAACTTGTGGATTTTTCTGCACGAACTCTTCCTCCCTGTTTCCTTTACTGGCTGTTGTTGCAAGGTGATATTACCATGTTTAACTGTGAACTACTTATTGTTCCTCAGGTGAAAGAACTGCCTATCCTACAAAAAGAACTTATAGAAACTAAACAAGCATTGGCCAATGCCAACCAGGATAAAGAAAAACTACTTCAGGAGATTAGGAAATATAACCCCTTCTTTGAGCTCTGAAACCAGTGGTTCAGCCATCTGTGCCAAGGAGAGAGGCCATCACCAGCAATAGCACCACCTATGACAGAGGGCACTGTCCAGTGCTGAATAAGTCACTATGGATGCCAGATGGACTGGGGAGCGCTCACTTGACTTGTGTGGGTGTGCTTTCCACTAGCTGTTCTAACCTGGATGGAAGACAAGGGCAAAGCATGACTGTATCCCAGAAAACTGGGGCTTGCCCTGTGTGTGGCACAAGTATCATGTCTTGCCTGTATAAAGCCTTTTGGCCCTCTGCATATTAGGTGGAATCTTCTCAACACTGTAGGGCCATTTCACCTCATGGTTTCATGGCAGGGACATTTGCTTCCTTCACAAGTCTGTGTGAACAAGCGAAAGTACCCACCTCCTCGGTCACCCACAGAGCCACCAAAGATTCCATGTCCCAGAGCTTCCCAGACCTGAGAAGTCCTTGGCCTGAGCTTTGGCCATGGTAGTAGAGTGGAACGGGAAATAGCCCAGCAAAGCAGTGTGGGGGAAGGCGGCAGGAGAGGCACAAGAATAAGGGAGACCTGGACTCTGCCTTTCTGGGAAAAGGAACCAAGCTCATATCAATTTGGCTGATAACACAATCAGATTTTTCCAGGTTAAGCTTCCTTTCTGTTACACGTTGATCATTGTGATGCTGTGGTAGAAAGTAAACAACAGTAGTGGTTCAGTCATTTAATCCTTCCCTTTTATAATACAACTTATTTGAAATTTAAATCAAGAAAAAGTTTCCGACTCTGACCTAGGTTGGTGGCATGATATGCCGGGGGTCAGTGGAGGAGCTTGCTTCTGAGCCCCCTGTTGTCCACCTGGAGTCCTGCATGTCTTCCCCACCTGTGCTGAGTGGCTTTTCTATCTTCCTGGAGTCCCTGGCATATCTGCTTTCCCAGCTCTGTGACTTTACCCTTTCTCTACTCAGCACTTGGTGGTTTGGGAACTGAAAATGTTTTAAACTTTTATATAAACAGCTCAACCTGTTGCCTCTCACTTCCCTCCATCACTGTGGCTTTTTAAAATCATGTATTTTTGACTCAAGTGAGAAAAACAAAAAAATCCTTCAACCCAGCTAGGTTTTGCCCCCTGCCCTATAAAAGAGCTCTTTCCCCCTTTCTTTTGAATTCTTCTCTGACACTATCCCTTCATTCATAATGCCCTGTGATACACTTGAAGCTGTGTTGATTGGACAGAAGTTCATCAGCTCACTTACCTTTACTTGGCAAGATGGTAAAATAGTGATTTAGTGATGTTACTAAAGTCTTGACCATACATGACTTATTGAAGGAAAGGTGAAAAGGTTTTTTTTTATGGGAAATTATGCTTGACTTGCATACTCTAGTTTGATGAGGATAAAAAGAAACATGTAATTGCAGTGGTGTTTATAACTAATTGATCACAGCCAATCATAGATTTCTTTGTTCCTTCTCCACTCTCAATGCTTCACTTGACTAGGAAAAAAAAAAATGTATTCACCAAGGAACAGGACTTAACTTGTTCAGACTTTTAAAGGACTTTTGTTAAGTTTCTTTACTAAGGCAAATTTTGAAGCAGCAGTTACTATGGGATGGTGGGAATTTTTCATGCTTTAGAAATAGAGACTTAGGGAGCCGGGCGCGGTGGCTCACGCCTGTAATCCCAGCACTTTGGGAGGCCGAGGTGGGTGGATCACGAGGTCAAGAGATCAAGACCATCCCGGTCAACATGGTGAAACCCCGTCTCTACTAAAAATACAAAAAATTAGCTGGGCATGGTGGCGTGTGCCTGTAATCCCAGCTAGGAGGCTGAGGCAGGAGAATTGCCCAAACCCAGGAGATGGAGGTTGCGGTGAGCCGAGAACGCGCCATTGCACTCCAGCCTGGGTAACAAGAGCGAAACTCCGTCTCAAGGAAAAAAAAAAAAAAAAGAAATAGAGACTTAGGAACAAAGAAACATCCTTCTGGAGAAAATGCTAATAGGAAGTTACCTAAGGTTTGATGCTTGGTTCAACCTTATTTAAAATTTTTATAGATAACCCAAAAGTAGGATTTTACTATGAAATCAAATGTCACTACTTCCAGGCAGTGAAAGGTAGACTAGAAGTGGTTTAAAAAACAGAAAACCAGAGAAAGGTTACAATAAGCAGTGCTGAGAATACTCAGAAAATTGACAGGTGAGGTTCAACATAGTATAAGGAAATGTATTTATGGAAGAATTACCAATTGATACACCTGAATGCTATTAGAACTCAGGAAAGAAACTGAAGCATTGCTGAGGGGAGGAGAGATCAATGTGATGCTGTGGCTAAAAGCCTAATTGCCCTGTGGGCATCACCAGGAAGGACTTTTGGAGACAACAGAGAACAGTGGTTTATACAAAATCATGGATATGTCTTGATCGAACTATCTGTGTTTCTACTGACCTTATTTACAAGAAATATGATGGAGGAAAGGTTAAGAGAACAGCAAAAATTATCGGGGGTGGAGGTATATCCATATGAGGACACGTTTTTAAAATACAGACGCTGTCCTGCAAAGATGAAAGCCAAGGGGAGTTAGATCAAATATCCAATCCAGAGCAAGGACCTGGTCCTGCACTACTAGCTCTAGGGGTCTATCTCATAGCCCTAGGTAAGAAAAGCACCTCTCATAGCAAATCAGAAATGTAAGGGGCTCATTGTCTAAGAAGTGATGCCAGCAGAAACTACATGGATGCAGGTGTATGAGGAATCCTTGCATGACGGCCTTCTACAAGGATTATAGAAAAGTAGGGTTACTTGATAATATACAACTGAGAGGGCAACTGTGTCCCTTGACAAACTACTCCTAAATGCCTCTTTCAAAGGCAGAATGTTGATCTGAATGGATCACTGGTCTTAAGTATGGCATCTCTAATGTTCTTGAAGGGGGAGGAGGGAGATCTCGTAGCTGGAAAATATATTTATTCAACCTTATGCTCAGCTGAATTGGTTAAAAATCATATTCTGATTCTCTTCTCAGCCCCTTCTACCCCCACCTACCATATTCCTCTGGCATCCCTCCATGCAAAGAAAATGTCTAAGAGGCATTTCTTGGTATACCTTTACCTACACTTGTGCTTGTAGGGTGACAGTAAAAACATACCCATTAAGGACCAAGGCTAACCTCTTAATGGCCGGAGCTCAGTTAGGCCTCTGGGCTCTCTGAAGGAGTCTAGAGCTCTTGTCTATGTGACAAATGGAGCCTTAGAATTTCTGGCTTTCTTCATGTGGCAGCTTTGGCCATTGTGTCTTGAAATCCTCAGGAAATGTGATAGGGGTTATCCTATGGGATTTTAGTAAAAATCAACTTGCCTAATTTCATATTTCTGTTCATAATGAAGAAATGTGAATGAGTGGTAGTCCTCAGGATAAGTGTAAAGGAAAATATGCAAGGGAAAAGTAGCAGTGTCAGCCCTTTTGGGCTGCTTATGATTTCTGCCTTAGAGCTGCAAGACTTGGAACAAGAAATAACAATACCTCAAGAAAATGTCTGGAGAGATAGCACCACTATCCCTCAAAGACTTCAGCGACTGAACATTACCATTTCAGCTGTGAAGCATTTACAACTATGTATTATCCATGATTGTCTACATTTCCTGTTTACATGTCTGTGCTGGGAATATGCTTTAGTGTGTATGGACTTGAGTTTAAATCTTCTCTTTAACTGGGCTGCCTAGATGGCTATCAATCCCAAATTCTGTTTTCAGCTCATTGGAATAATTAACCTAGTTTCCCTGATATAAAACAAGTGGGTTCTATTCACATGGTATCTGCTTTTTACCATCTATTTCATCTAACCTTCATTTTGCCATGGGCCTCAACCTTTATGCCCCTTTTTTATGGTTCTGAAAGGAATGGCTCCCATATATGGAATATACAAGGGATAAACAAACACCACCCCTCACATACCCTGTAACTTAAACACTTCCATTTAACTCACTTAGATTACTTTCCCCTTAGTGGTAAACGGGTTGGGGGATGGGCAGTAGTGGAAAGAAGGTAGTTTTAAGTATTGCCATAGTAACATGGGAACTTTTCATTCTAAACTTTTACCCTAGTTTTTTCTTCTCTGCCATTTATTTAAAATTTGCCTAAACGTCTAAAATCAGAGTAAAATCATTAAAACTATAGAAACAACTGAACTTTGGTACAGAAGTTAGTTCGATGACATCTGGTTATTTAAGAACAGTAAAAGCTGTGTCATTGCCTCATGATTAATCATAGTCATTATTAACGGTTTCAGAGAGAATCTGGTGTGAAGCACTATCCTTTCAGAGACTAAGGCCTTTACCTAGTTGCTCCCTTATCTTCTGTCAGAATAGGAATATTCCCCTGAACCTCTGGATAGGTAAAGGTAGTAGCTATTGAATGGAAATTATTTTCCCCATGGCACAAGGGGAAACACTCTCGGATAACCTTTAACAGTGAGGCTTTGCTAAGTGGCCAGACTTGGGATTTGATCTTCCCCCCTTATTTATTAAGTTTCAGCCTTATTCAATATCTCTAATTGCAATAGATATAGTTCCTGCAACTGCTAAAAAAAATTCTGTTAGAGCTGAGAGTATCTTTTTTTGTCAGTTTATTAATTTTTGGTCAAGATTTAGCTTTAGTCTTAAAGCATTTCTTTGTGGAATGCCCCACTGAAGTGTCTTCTTCATTGGCTAAGTACATGTTTAAAGCCATGGGTTTTAATGTAAGATACTAAAAGTCAGATTTGCCCACCTTCATGAGTCCAAACTGTCTCCCCCACTGAGGGTGCTAAATAGAATTAGAATCTTTACTAAGACATGCTCAGGAAAGCTTCACAAGACAACAGCTTCAGTAGAGAGGAAAAATTCTTGGAGATTGCCAATTACATACAGTAGCCTTATTACTGCTAATTACTGTCAATAAACGGTCACTTCATTCCCCTCTGTTTGAGAAAAACAATGAGAATGTATCTGATGAACTGGAATCCCGGTCAGTATTGGGAAATTTCAATGTTGCAATATCTAGTCAAACCTTGAGTGTACTGGTTCTGTGAACCACCTGTAAAAACAAATTAAATTTATTAAATCATAATGGTTGTCGTATATCTGATGATAAGCATCTGAAATATATGGGCTTTTATATTTTTTATTTTCTTCTGTTTTAGGGGGAGAAGATTATTACATTGTTTTTAACAGTGCTTAAAGTACTCTTTTATGAGATAAATTTTTAATGATTTTATTAGAAAAAGGACTCATAGCTAAAACCAGTTGTATTGGAACACCAGAAAATAATCAACTTCCCATTACAACCAGCTAGACAGAAAATGAATACACATAAGGTAAGTTGAAAAACAGTTTAATGATCACTCACCAAAATCCACAGGAGAATCTTAAATGTTTACAAGCACCAGTTATTCCACGATTCCTGCCTTTACCACGTCCTTCATGATAGAGTATCACAAGTAAAAGTTTCTGGTTGTTTCATCTACTTAAAACCAGATGTAAGAAACAAACGAAGTCTTAGCAACTTTAGGCTTCAATGTGAAACCATTAAAGCTCTTGGCACTTAAGGAGGCTGAGGCAGGAGGACTGCTTCAAGCCAAGAGTTCATGACCAGCCTGGGCAACAAAGCAAGACCCATGTACATAAAAAATAAAAATAAGTTAACTGGACACAGTAGTGTGTGTCTGTAGTCCTAGCTACTCAGGAGATTGAGGTGGGAGCGTCACTTAAGCCCAGGAATTCAAGGCTGCAGTCATGCCGCTGCACTCCAGCACTCCAGCCTGGGTGACACAGCAAGACCCTATCTAAAAAAAAAGAAAAGGGAAAAAAAAAAAAAAAAAACCCTTGGAAAGGTTTTCTCTCTGAAAGCAGTTCTCCTGTCTAGAAGATGTTTATGGCCCACACATATTCCAACTGGCCAAGACAGTTAAATACTTCAAAATGCCCCAAGAGGTCCCAAAATTTAGTCAAGGCAAGTATCAAACAGGCTACATACTTTCTAGATGTGACAAATAATCAGAGTTTTGAGAGATTAAAATCATGGAATCCTTGGAGGACTGAGATACTAAAGCACCAGCAGACAGTCTTATAGGAAGTCTGGAACCAGTACTTCTTCTGTCAGTAATAGGCCTTTCTAGACTTTGGTCTAGAAGAAGATGATTTTTTTGTGCTTCGAGTTAGGGATCTGTCCTTTTGACTTTAACCTTCTAACGGCTTCCCTCATATGTTTGGGTTGCAGTGGTGGCATTTCTCCCCACTTCTCACACACATCCAGTGCTAAACAGAGGGTAAGGAGAAAGTCTTATTATCACACAAGAATTGACTAATCACATAATCCTTTTGAGTCCTGTAATTCTCATTAACCTTTCTTAAGCTTGCTGAGGAAATAAACCAAAACATTTTTACTTTAAGAGAATGCTATAAAATGTATCACATTAGTTTTAGTATAACATCTCATATCAGGCTTTATCATAGACAACAGTTTAAAAGATATTTCCTATAGGCCACATGCTATGGCTCATGCCTATAACCCCAGCAGTTAGGGAGGCCAAGGTGGGAGGATTGCTTGAGCCCAGGAGTTTGAGACCAGCCTGGGCAACATGGCAAAACATTGCCTTTACAAAAAAATAAAAAGGTTAGCCAGGGTGGTGGTGGTGTGCACCTGTGGTCCCAACTACTCAGGAGGCTGAGGCAGGAGGATCACCTGAGCCCAGAAGCTGCTGTCGCAGTGGGCCATGATCTGCAACTGCCCTCCAGCCTGGGTAGCACAGTGAGACCCTGTCTCAAAAAAATAACTACCTAAAAATAAAAATTAGCCAGGTGTGGTAGTGCATGCCTACAGTCCCAGCTACTTGGGAGGCTGAGGCAGGAGGATCCCTTGAGTTCAGGAGTTTTGAGGTTGTAGTGAGCTATGATCACACCACTGTTACCATCTCATTTTGTACACCATCTTAATTTATGATTTGTAAAAGAAAAAAAAAACACACACTAAAAAAAAGTAAAGATCACGCCATGCACTCCAGCTTGGGCAAAAGAGCGAGACCCTGTCTCAAAAAACAGTAATAATTTAAAAGTATCTATCTCCTGCTTTAAAAATAAAAAATTTCACCAGCTAGAGTAGCAATGGGAAACAGCCAGGCTTTTTACTCAATAATGGGGGCAGTTCCCAGGGATCACAACATTAGGGACAACTTACCATCCCACACAGGTCAGCTCTGTGATTGCTTTTCTTTTCTTTTCTTTTTTTTACTTCCTCTAACACGGATCATAGGAAACAATGCTTTTCTTATATCTTTACTTTTGGCAGCAGAAATGAGCCAAGTCCACTGGAGAAGAAAAAAAATCTATTTCTAGGCCAGGCGTGGTGGCTCAAGCCTGTAATCCCAGCGCTTTGGGAGACCAACGTGGGTGGATCACGAGGTCAAGAGATCGAGACCATCCTGGTCAACATGGTGAAACCCCGTCTCTACTAAAAATACGAAAAATTAGCTGGGCATGGTGGCACACGCCTGTAATCCCAGCTATTCAAGAGGCTGAGGCAGGAGAATTGCCTGAACACAGGAGGCAGAGGTTGTGGTGAAAGATCGCACCATTGCGCTCCAGCCTGGGTAACGAGCGAAACTCCATCTCAAAAAAAAAAAAAAAAAAAAAAAAAAAAATCTACTTCTGTCATCCTGGGCTGAGGAAAGGAATCAGAGAGGGGATTTCCCAGATGGTTCCTTGCCATCTGTTATTGAAACTTGTAAAGAATAATGGTCCTGTTCTCCTGAATACAGGGCTCCCTACTTGGTCAACTTCAAGTGCAAATAAGTACTTGTACAGGTGCTCTAATAAGTTCCTTTGTATAGATATTCTTAAAAATAAGATCACCACAGGTACAATCCAGTATTTGTAACCAATGCTACTCACCTTCTTCTACCACCTCTCCGACGAAGACCTTGGAAATACCAGACATAGCAATAACAACATTCTGAGACACAGAGGTGCCAGTGATGGACTGGATCAGCTTGAAAGAAGGACAAAGACTCCGTGATTATGATAGTCAAAGACTGGCTTTGAACACAGTACCAATTAATTCACAGAAAAAGGTTAGATAACTGGGGGACATTTTTTTCCCTCACCTAAATAATTCACTGACTTGTCTAACACCTCACTTCAAATGCCAATAAACATGGCTCTTGAGTTCCGTTCTAACGCATGATAGAAATGAAGTGTGGTGGGCCATCCTTACCCTTTTGATGGCTGCCTTAGGGAAAGCTGAGCGGCGATACATTTCATAACGGTTCAGCTGCTCTTCAGAAAAAGAAGAAACCAGGATTCTAAACAAAGATGCAGGTAACTAAGTTAACTTTTAAGAATGAATACTCAAGATATTATTAAGTCAATAAAAGTCTCAGACAGATAAATTCTTACGGGGTTAATGGCATTAGGCTTGGTACCTTGAGGAATGAAGATAAAACACTTCTACCTTTAAGAAACTTGAGGAAACATAAAAACTTTTTACCATTTAAGAACAATGAAAACAACAACATTGGGTCACTGTATCATACGATACAGACTATGTTTTCAGCATTAGACTCAATCTCCACAACTCTACTGAATTTCATACTGATAGTAAAAATGTAATATACAAATTTATTTTATTTTATTTTGAGGCGGAGTTTCGTTCTTGTTACCCAGGCTGGAGTGCAATGGCGGGATCTCAGCTCACTGCAACCTCCGCCTCCTGGGTTCAGGCAATTCTCCTGCCTCAGCCTCCTGAGTAGCTGGGATTACAGGCACGTGCCACCATGCCCAGCTAATTTTTTGTATTTTTAGTAGAGACGGGGTTTCACCGTGTTGACCAGGATGGTCTCGATCTCTTGACCTCGTGATCCACCCACCTCGGCCTCCCAAAGTGCTGGGATTACAGGCTTGAGCCACCGCACCCGGCAATATACAAATTTATAATCAACATTAACAGATTTAGGGGAAATGTCTACAAAATATATGGAAACAGTTAATACCCTTAATGTATAATGAATTCTTTCAAATGAATAAAGGGGCCATATCAATTTATGAAAATGAACAGGAAATTTACAAAAATACCAATGGTCAATCAACATGGGGGAAACAACCTTTATTATTAACCAAGGAAATATTATTTTCATAGATAACATTTTTCACAAATCAGATCACTATTAAAAAAAGAATGCTATTAGAATACGGGGCACAAACCCCTACATGCTGGCAGAGAACTGGAATACCTTTTTGGAGAGAAATTTGGAAATACATATGAAAAGCCTTTGAAAATGTTCACACTATTTGAACTAGCAATTACACCTCCTAGAGGTAATTGGAAGAAATGGACAAGTATGCAAAGATATGTCCAAAGATCCTCCTCGTAATGTCAAAAGAAAAAAAAAATCCAACCAGAACCACTACAGGGATTGGTTAAATTATAGTTCAACAATGTAATGGGATACAATGTAGCCATTAAAATGATGATTTATAAGCATATTTACTGACATGAAAATATTTAGCTATACATAGCAAACATCTAAAAAAAAGCATTGAAAAGGTTCATATATTATACCCAACTATATTATATACTTAGAGTAAACACTGGGTGGTGAGTATCTGGGTAATTTTTTCTATTTTTCTGTATTCTTTGAATTATTTGCAATGAGCCCATACTACTTTTACAATCAAAAAATATAATAAGGTATTTCCATTTCTAAGAAAACTATGACCTGGATGTATAATTAGTGACATGGGAAATATTCACCATATCTAATGTAAAAAATAGGCTATAAGAGAGTATTTGACATTTTTGAAAAAAAAATGTATTTATAGATATATATGTATAGAGATTCTCTTGAAACTTTTAACATAAGCGGGATGTATCTCTGTGATAAAGTGATTTTTTTCTTTTATCTATCTATCTATCCGTCCATCCATCCATCCATCAATTCATCCATCCATCCATCTATCCATCCATCCATCCATCTAACTTTTAGAAAGAGAGTCTGGCTCTGTTGCCCAAGCTAGAGTGTAGTGGCAGGGATCTTGGCTCACTGCAGCCTCTGCCTCCTGGATTCAAGTGATTCTCCTGCCTCAGCCTACTGAATAGTTAGGCTTACAGGCACCCACCACCACGCCCAGCTAATTTGTTGAATTTGCATTCGTGTGTGTGTGTGTGTGTTTGTTTTTTTGAGACAGAGTTTCGCTCTTGTTACCCAGGCTGGAGTGCAATGGCGCGATCTTGGCTCACCACAACCTCCGCCTCCTGGGTTCAGGCAATTCTCCTGCCTCAGCCTCCTGAGTAGCTCGGATTACAGGCATGTGCCACCATGCCCAGCTACTTTTTTGTATTTTTAGTAGAAATGGGATTTCACCATGTTGACCAGGATGGTCTCGATCTCTTGACCTTGTGATCCACCCGCCTTGGCCTCCCAAAGTGCTGGGATTACAGGCGTGAGCCACTGCGCCCGGTGTTTTTTTTTTTTTTTTTTTTAAGACGGAGTCTCACTCTGTTGCCCAAGCTGGAGTGCAGTGGCGTGCTCTCTGCTCACAGCAACCACCACCTCCTGGGTCCTGGTTCAAGCGATTCTCCTGCCTCAGCCTCCCAAGTGGTTGGGATTACAGGCATGTGCCACCACGCCTGTCTAATTTTTGTATTTTTAGTAGAGACTGGGTTTCACCATGTTGGCCAGGCTGGTCTTGAATTCCTGACCTCAGGTGATCTGCCTGCCTTGGCCCCCCAAAGTTCTGGGATTATAAGCACAAGCCATGGCGCCCCGTCTAATTTTTTGTATTTTTTAGTAGAGACAGAGTTTCACCATGTTGGCCAGGATGGTCTTGAGCTCATGGCCTCAGGTGATCCACCCACCTTAGCCTTCCAAAGTGCTGGGATTAGAGGGATGAGCCAATGCGCTTGGCCTCTATTTAAAAAAAATTTTTTTCAAAACGATTATGTCACAGCATAGAAAATATAAATACATAAAAAGAAGGGCAGGCATGGTAGCTCATGCCTGTAATCCCAGTACTTTGGGAGGCCGAGGGTGATCACCTGAGGTCATGAGTTCAAGATCAGCCTGGCCAACATAGTGAAACCCTGTCGCTACTAAAAATACAAAAACTAGCCTGGGCGTGGTGGTGCACCCCTGTAGTCCCAGCTAGTTGGGAGGCTAAGGCATGAGAATTGCTTAAACCCAGGAAGTGGAGGCTGCAGTGAGCTAAGACTGTGCCATTGCACCCCAGTGTGGGTGACACAGTGAGACTCTGTCTCAAAAAAAATATAAAATAGCCGGGCGTGGTGGCTCAAGCCTGTAATCCCAGCACTTTGGGAGGCCGAGGCGGGTGGATCACGAGGTCGAGAGATCGAGACCATCCTGGTCAACATGGTGAAACCCCGTCTCTACTAAAAATACAAAAAAAGTAGCTGGGCATAGTGGCACATGCCTGTAATCCCAGCTACTCAGGAGGCTGAGGCAGGAGAATTGCCTGAACCCAGGAGGCGGAGGTTGCAGTGAGCCGAGATCACGCCATTGCACTCCAGCCTGGGTAACAAGAGTGAAACTCCGTCTCAAAATAAATAAATAAATAAATAAATAAAATAAAATAAAAACATAATATAACAAGACATGACATGACATAACATAACATAAAACATAGTATAGAGATAGGGTTTCACTATGTTGCCCAGGCTGGTCTCAAACTTGGCCTTCAAGTGATCCTCCCATCTTGGCCTCCCAAAGTGTTGGGATTACAAGTGTGAGTCACCATGCACAGCCATAAGGCATTAATCATTTCATTTTCTTTTGAGTTTTTAAAAGAACAAAAAAGGCCAAGAAAAATTTATTAAATTTGTGTGGTCAGGTGAGAGCCTTGAGATGGGGAATGATAAGAAGGTGACTTACTGCATCTTCTGAATCTCATCTTCGTCTACCTTCTGCTTCTTCTCTTTCTTTTCTTTGGTATCTATTTTCAGTTTTTTGGCTGCAGGAGTAAGTAATGATGAGTCTTCCCTTTCAACTGCTGTTAAATCTGAGACATCCTGACTCTTGAGCTGGGAAGATGAAAGAAACTCTATTATATACTTGCCCTACTTTCCAGGCTAGGGAAAAGTAAGAAGACATCATCCTTATTACAAAATAACAAATCCATTTATTGAGTAGTTTTTCAGTTCTAGGAACTGACCTGTACCATCAAGTGTATGATACAGTATCTCTCCTAAGGGAAGATTATAGCTCAGCTGTGGAAAGAAAACCCGCTAAATAATCTAGTTTTCCAGTCCAGCTATGAGCACAGCTCCAGTATCTGTTTACAAGGGTAATGAAATGCCAAGGATCATGAAAACCACTCTCCCCATGGGCCCACTATTCTGACCTTATTCTTTAGAGGGGATGTCAGCAAAGTCCCCTCCATCCAGCCAGCTCTTCTGCCTCCAGATCTACAGATCTCTTTACTGCTGCTGATTCCATGTAGAATATTAAAAAGGAGGCCTCTTCTCATCAAAACAGTGTTTATTTGGAACTTTCAAGTGAGCTGCTCACATGTAGTGCTCTTTCGTTCTTATCTTTCTGTCCTACTGTTTCATGCAAATATTTATTTCACATTACTAGTCTTTTTGAAGATAGGTTTGTCTCTTATTATTTATATCTCTCCCCTATAGGCATTTAACACAATTTTACTAATGCTGGATGTTTAATAAATGCCTGTTTAAATCCCAAGTGGGCAACCCCAAGTAGGCAAAGACACTTCTCAAAAGAAGACATACTTGTGGCCAACAATCATACAAAAAAAGCTCAGCATCACTGATCATTAGAGAAATGCAAATCAAAACCATACTGAGGCCTGACGTAGTGGCTCATGCCTGTAACCCCAGCACTTGGGGAGGCCGAGGCAGGTGGATCACTTGAGGTCAGGAGTTTGAGACCAGCCTGGCCAATATGGTAAAACCCCGTCTCTACTAAAAATACAAAATTAGCTGCGTGTGGTGGTCTGTAATCCCAGCTACTGGGGAGGCTGAGGCAGGAGAATTACTTGAACCCAGGAGGTGGAGGTTACGGTGAGCCGAGATTATGTCATTGCACTCCAGCCTGGGCAAAAAGAGCAAAAATTCCATCTCAAAACAAACAAACAAAAACTATAAAGAGATACCATCTCAGCCGGGCACAGTGGCTCACGCCTGTAATCCCAGCAATTTGGGAGGCTGAGGCGGGTGGATCACCTGAGGTCAGGAGTTCGAGACCAGACTGACCAACGTGGTGAAACCCCGTCTTAAAAAAAAAAAAAAAAAAAAAAGGTACCATCTCACACCAGTCAGAATGGCTATTATTCAAAAGTCAAAAAGTAACAGATACTGCTGAGGCTGTGGAGGCAAAGGAAAGCTTTTAAACTGTTGGTTGGAGCATAAATGAGTTCACCATTGAGGAAGGCAGTATGACAATTCCTCAAAGAACTAAAGAAGGAATTACCATTCGACCTAGCAATCCCATTACTGGGTATATACCCAAAGGAATATAAATTGTTCTATTATAAAGACACATGCACACTTATGTTCATTGCAGTGCTATTCACAATAGCAAAGACATGGAATCAGCTTAAATGCCCATCAGTAATAGACTGGATAAAGAAAATGTACTCCAGTATATACTGTGGAATACTATACAGCCGTAAAAAAGGAGATCATGGCCTTTGCAGGAACATGGATGGAGCTGGAGTCCATTATCTTCAGCAAACTAATGCAGGAACAGAAAACCAAATACTGTATGTTCTCACTACTAAGTGGGAGCTAAATGATGAGAACACATGGACACAGAGAGAGGAACACACACTGGGGTCTATGGGAGAGTGAAGGGTGGCAGGAGGGAAAGGATCAGGAAAAATAACTAATGGATATTAGGCTTAATGCCCGGGTGATGAAATAATCTGTACAACAAACCCCAATGACACACATTTACCTATGTAGTAAAACACATCCTGCACATGCACCCCTGAACTTAAAATAAAAGTTAAAAAACTGCCTGTTTAATAACCATAAAAACCAAATCGAAACTTCATCCCCTCCGATTTAATGTAGAATTTTAAGTATACTACAAAACTCATTAATGAGATCTAGCTTTTCCTTAAGAAGAATTCAAATTTAAACTCATACAAGAATATGGGAATAGGTAGGATGAAGGTAGTCTATCTTTGACAATCTTTTCAATTATTTTTTAGTTACTGAGATATACAAGTTTTCTAACTTCTTTGTGCTTCAAGTTTGGTGATTTGTATTTTTTTTTTTTTTTAAATCACCTATTGACTGGACGTAGTGGCTCATGCCTGTAATCTCAGCACTTTGGGAGGCTGAGGCAGGCAAATCACAAGGTCAGGAGATCGAGACCATCCTGACCAATTTGGTGAAACCCTGTCTCTACTAAAAAAAATTAGAAAAATTAGCTGGGCGTGGTGGCGCATAACTGTATTTCCAGCTACTTGGGAAGCTGAGGCAGAGAATCACCTGAACCTGGGTGGCAGAGGTTGTGGTAAGCTGAGATCATGCCATTGCACTCCAGCCTGGCAACAGAGCAAGACTCTGTCTCAAAAAAAAGAAAAAAAAAAACACCTATTTTTCTCAGATTTTCATATTTATTTGGCCTAAACTTGAACATTATATGTCTTTACAACTTTAAATATCTCCATATTAGGGCCTATAGCCTTTCCATATTTTGTAATGTACATTTACATTTCAAAGAATCAAGTTTTAATTTTATCATTTCTTATTTTTTTTTAAAGGCTAATTCATTAGTGTCTATTTCTCTCCTTATTAACTCCTTGTTCCTACACTCTTCTGATTTATTTTGTTCTTTATATGTGTTTTTTTTTTTTCTTCATACTCGCTCTGTTGCCCAGGCTGGATCACAGCTCACTGCAGTCTCAAGTGATCTCCTGCATCAGCCTGCCAGGTAGCTAGGCCTGCAAGCGTGATTCACCCTGCTAGGCCCTTTTTCTGGTTTCTTGAGTCAGGTGCTTATTTACAATATCTTCTGGTTGTTAATAAAAATATGTAAGGTTATAAATTTTTATTTAAATAAAGCTTTGCCCAAATCCCATAGAATTTGATAAAGTCTTCTTTAGTCTAAAGGCTATTTTTAAGTTTAAAATTTCTAGGGGATTAGTTCTTTTTTGGTGAAAGAGAAGCTTTCTGTAGTTAATTTCAAGTTTAATGCATTGCATTAACAAGATGTGGCCTGTTATGATTTCTACTTTTAAGAATTGATAGGCCGGGTGCGGTGGCTCAAGCCTGTAATCCCAGCACTTTGGGAGGCCGAGGCGGGTGGATCACGAGGTCGAGAGATCGAGACCATCCTGGTCAACATGGTGAAACCCCGTCTCTACTAAAAGTGCAAAAAATTAGCTGGGCATGGTGGCTCGTGCCTGTAATCCCAGCTACTCAGGAGGCTGAGGCAGGAGAATTGCCTGAACCCAGGAGGCGGAGGTTGCGGTGAGCCGAGATCGCGCCATTGCACTCCAGCCTGGGTAACAAGGGCGAAACTCCGTCTCAAAAAAAAAAAAAAAAAAAAAATTGATATTTTTCTTTGTGGTCTTGTACATCATCGATTTTTAAAAGTGTTTCAGAAACATCATAATTTTAACCTCTGTTCAGTGCAAATTTATATATATAGTGAGCTCTCTAGTGTACTAGACTAATTATTCAAATCCTTGCTGTCCTTGACACCCGTTTTAAAGTTTCCTTCTTGGCCAGGCATGGTGGCTCCCACCTGTAATCCTAGCACTTTGGGAGGCTAAGGCGAGAAGATTGCTTGAGCCCAAAGAGTTCAAGACCAGACTGGGCAACATAGTGAGACTGTGTCTCTATCAAAACAATGTTTTAAAAAAATTTAGCTGAGTGTGGTGGAGCATGCCTGTAGTCCCAGCTACTGGGGAGGCTGAGGTAGGAGGATTGCTTGAGTCCAGGAGGCAGAGACTGTGCCCTGGCACTCCAGACTGGGTGAAAGAGCGTTATCTTGTCTCAAAACAAAACAAAACAAAACAAAAAACTGCCTTAAAATACTTTTGTCAAATTTTCTTTTTCTAAAAGTTTTACTTTATATATTTTGATGCAACTTTACGCTCTGAAAGGTTATTTCCATCTAAACTACTGTTCACCCCACAATCTCTTAATTTCCTTTTGGCTCTTAAACCCCAAAATTCTACTTCTAGAAATGGAATCCAGAGAACGATGAGTTTCTGGTCCGGACCGATGCTCAGCTAGGCAATACTGCTGAACTCTCTGTAACATAAAAACACCAGACCCATCAATTGAATCTGGTGTTTTTATGCTACAGAAATCCCTGATCGCCTGGCGCGGTGGCTCACGCTTGTAATCCCAGAACTTTGGGAGGCCAAGACAGGTAGATCACGAGGTCAGGAGCTCGAGACCAGCCTGGTCAACATAGTGAAACCCCATCTCTACTAAAAATACAAAACATTAGGCAGGCATAGTGGTGTGCGCCTGTAATCCCAGCTATTTGGGAGGCCGAGCAGAAGAATCACGTGAACCTGGGAGGCGGAGGTTGCAGGGAGCTGAGATCGCGCCACTGCACTTCAGCCTGGGTGACAGAGCGAGATTCCGTCTCAAAAATTAACAAAATAAATAAAATTTAAAAATCTATCTATCTATCTCTGATCATCAGCATCTATCTATCTATTTATCTCTGATCATTAGCATCCAGGTCACCGGTACCAGTTACAAGTCAAGAGGGTAATAACACGATTTAACCTGTAACTTCTATAAAAATCTATCTCCCTTTGACAGGTCTGATCGACCTTCCTCCCTGTAAAGACAAAAATTGTCTTAACATCTAAGAGGAACCAGATTGCGGTGAAATGGGTGCTATGAATCCTGGGTTTTAGCTCTTGCACTACGTCTCAGTGTAACATCGGATCCCAACTTCCTCACCACGAAAGCCAACAAGCTACTAAAACTCCCTTAGAAGTGGCTTTAATCCCTGAAGACAAGACCAAAAATATTAACACAGTGCTTGGGCCTCTGGAACCGAACCAGCACTGGAGTTTTGTTTGGTCGTCTTCTCTCTTCCCCTTCAAGATCAACGCTCTGGAGGGAATTCTGGTGAATTCGAGTTCTCGTAACTTGGGAGGGACTACCAGAAGCCCAGCGAGCAGCCAGTAACACAATCTCTGGGTATTCCTCCAGCCTCATCAACACATCTCTTCCTACCTCGCTTTCCTCCGCTGCAGCTTCTTTTAAGTCCGCATCTGCGTCTCCGTCAGTTTCCTCTGGGATTCCATCCGTGTCAGTAGCCCCCGGGTCCCCGGGCGCAGCGACCGTCTCATCCGACTCCCCTGTCTCTCCACCTTTGTCGGTGGGCGACTCGCGGGCATCGTCCATCGCGGATAGGATTGAAGGGGAGAGGAGACCGTAGTACCGTCAGAGGCTGGAGCTCGGAAGCCCGAGCTGCACCGGACAGGATCTTACTTCCTGTAGTCGCGCCGCGATGACATCACCCCTACCGCTCTCCTGAGGGGTCATTTTGAGGCGCGCGTAGAGGAGACTTGACTCATTTTAACTTTGGGTTGGCAACAGTGGGGAGCGGGATTATTGGACGTAAAGAGTTCATATTGTGGATCCTCCTCACTAGGAAACCAGCACTTGTGAAGGAGCGCAGTTTTGTTTACTAAAGAAGTTTTTCATTTTCGCCTATCTAAAAATGCAATGTCAGTTAATCCCTTCTTTAACCCCTCAGAGTAAAGTTGGGGGACTGGGGAAAAAACTCAGTTCCGTTTTATGGCGGTGTCGTGGAATGAGGCTACCGGGGATTGGCAAACTTTCAGGCAGGGACTCAACCTTGTATATTTTTACGGGTCCGTGTGTACATGGAATTGCTAGCATTTCCCCTGCATTCCGCAAGCACCTTAACAACAACAACAACAACAAAAAGTCATATAGCTTGAGCAGAATTTATCCAATTCATTTATTCATCCACAACTATTGACTACGTACTTCGATTTAGAAACAGTGTTAATACCAGGGAACAAAACACACGTAATTTCTACCGAATTAAATGATTTTTTTTCAGTTCGCCAGTACTCAAGATTGAGGTTGATTTCTACAAACCTGACACTTTTCTATCACTTTGGTTAATCTCATCAAAACTAACAGGACTTTGGGAGGCCGAGGCGGGTGGATCACAAGGTCGAGAGATCGAGACCATCCTGGTCAACATGGTGAAACCCCGTCTCTACTAAAAATACAAAAAACTAGCTGGGCATGGTGGCGCGTGCCTGTAATCCCAGCTACTCAGGAGGCTGAGGCAGGGGAATCGCCTGAACGCAGGAGGCGGAGGTTGCGGTGAGCCGAGACCGCGCCATTGCACTCCAGCCTGGAAAGAGCGAAACTCCGTCTCAAAAAACAAAACAAAACAAAAAAACAAACAAAAAAAAAACTAACAGGAAAGCTTGAAGAGAGGAAGGTGTCTCCTTTGAACGTTTCACTTTTAATGAACTATTTCGTGTACTGCGAGGATCAATGAAGTGGTGAGGATATTTCTATTTTAAAACTTTCTTCTCCTCCCTCATTGAGGTACGAGGGGGAGGGCGTTTTATTCACCTAGGTATGACTAGATACCCGCACCTACTACATACTTAATTTGTGTTTGCTGAAAGAATGGCCTAGGAAATGTAGGTGCGCGTTACCATATTTATCTCTTTGTTTCTAGCTGCCTGGACGAATTACCGTATTTCCTGTCCCAGGAGCTCCCAAAACCTTTGGGGAAGGAACGCACTTCGGGAGGCACGTACAGGTGGGCCTGTTTGTCCCTTTCCACCCGTACAATGGGGGCCCACAAGGCGCTGTCCCCATGCCCCCAGAGGCCTGTATCGGCCCAGAGAAGTCCACCTGCGCTGGTCCGTGGAGCCCCGCCCAGCTAGGTGAGCAAGGGGGCGGGGCCCGGGGGCGCGGTGACGCGTGACGCCGGATCCCGGAAGTGACGCGCTCGTGGGGAAAAGGCAGGGAGGGGGGTGGTGTCCCCAGCCGGTTTGGGGGGTGCGTTGCCCGGAGACGGAAAGTTTGGGAGCCGGAGCAGGCTCGGCTGCAGCCCCGGGGACGGGGTCCAGCGGGTGGCGGCCCTGGGGATGGGGAAGGAGCAGGAGCTGCTGGAGGCGGCCCGCACCGGGCACCTCCCGGCGGTGGAGAAGCTGCTGTCCGGGAAGCGGCTCTCCTCGGGCTTCGGGGGCGGCGGCGGCGTCTCTGGGGGCGGCGGCGGCGGCGGCGGCGGCGGCGGTGGTGGCGGCCTCGGCTCTTCCAGCCACCCTCTCTCCAGTCTGCTCAGGTGGGTACGCGCCGGGGCCCGGCCGCTGCCTGCAGAGCCCTTCTCCCCCACGGGTCTCTTGGGTCCCCAGAGAGATCGGGACTCCTAAGACCCGGGCGGGTTGGGCTTGTGGCGTGCCTGGGGCGAGGCAGGCGGCCCGCGGGCCAGGGAACCGGAGGGCGCGCGGGTCCGGGTCCACGCTGCTCCAGGCTCTCCTGGTCTTCCGTCCTGACCCGCCTGCGAAGAATGGTGGGAGTGCCCAGGTGGCAGCCTCCGCCGCATGGCACAGCCAGGCTTCACCCTCGCTCACTATAGGGTGCCAGCTGTCGTTGCTCACAAAAGCCAATTTAGAGCAAATATGTATATCATGTATATACATATGATCTCCCTCACCTCCTGCAGAAACTCCCACGCCCTGTATAATCTCGAGGCTTCTCTGGAGAAAATTCGTTGATTCTCTTAAGGAACTTGGAACCTTCCAACACGCTACGCAGGACCTCGCTTTTGGTTTTTTTTTTTTTTTTTTTTCCGAGACGGAGTCTTGCTCTGTCTGTCACCCAGGCTGGAGTGCAGTGGCTCGGTCTCGGCCCACTGCAACCTCTGCCTCCCGGGTTTAAGCAATTCTGCCTCAGCCTCCCGAGTAGCTGGGATTACAGGTGCACACCACCGCATCCTCCTAGTTTTTGTATTTGTAGTAGAGACGGGTTTCACCATGTTGGCCTGGCTGGCTGGTCTTGAACTGCTGACCTCGTGTGCTCCCCCGACCTCGGCCTCCCAAAGTGCTGAAATTACAGGCGTGAGCCACCTCGGCCGGCCCCTTGCTTTTGTTTCTATTAAAATTGCCTCTGGATTTACCGTGTTCAAGATGTCTTTGAGCTCCTCTTGTGCTTGAAGTTCAAACTGTAGTTCCTTGTAGTGAACTTCATTGTGGCATATGCAGGAGTCTTCTGGGAGCTTATTTACCTAGAAATAAAGGCAGAAAGATTTGTTTAGGAAACTGAGGAATGCTTTAAACTTTTCCAAGGTCCGTTGTTAAACGCTTGAATCTGGAGCTGCAAGGACCGATAAAAGATCAGTTTTGTGTGGCTTCAAAGGGGTATTGGAGGTGCTTTGTGAGTGTGAGTTAAATGTGTTGGTTCAGCAGCGCCTTCATAGCCTGATTTCTTTTTCCTTCCTTGTTCTTTTGAGGTTTTTGAGAAGTGGAAGTTCATTTAGAAATGGCTGCTTTAGCTTTTGTTCCCCATTACTTTATGTAACTTCAGTTTGAGTGCGCTTGGACCACAGAACCCTAAGGCTCTAATAAATTGTTATTAATAGATATTAAGCACTGAGTACCAACCCAGGTCTTTCCAGGAAGATTTTAAAAAGCAGCATAAGTAGGTACTTAAGATTTGTTGAAGAAATACAGGTATCAATTGGAGGACAATAAATTTCTAAATAACTGGATGGTAGATGGTATTACTCACTGTAATTGCTAGCAGTTGAGAGAACAGAGACATCATTTAGGGATGGAGTAGAGGTCAGGGCTTCCAGAAGGCGGGAGACTTAAGCTGGTCTTGAAGGATGTGGGGATTTGGGTAGGTGAGTTATGATGGGCGTGTTTCAGGTGGGTACCCCATGTTCAGAGGCACAGAAATGAGAATGGAAACTCATTTGGTGCTTTTGGGGCAGTAGGAGAACTTCCTGCCTGGACCCTTGAGAGTCTGGGCATAATAAAAGTAAATAATAATGGATGGGTATACTTCCATATGTCATATTTGTATTCTCAGTCCCTAGTTCAACTGACAACTTACAGGTGTTCAATAAATGTGCAGTGAATGCATGAATTAGATTCTGGATCTTACCTGGATTTGCCACTCTGCAGTTCTGCTGTCTGAGAGGTGACAAGACTATACAAGTTTGGAGATGCCTCTGTCTTTAGTGAGTTGATGACATAGCATTTGGAGATTTTCCAGAGATATCTTTTTTTTTTGAGACGGAGTTTTGCTCTTGTTACCCAGGCTGGAGTGCAATGGCGCGATCTCGTCTCACCGCAACCTCCGCCTCCTGGGTTCAGGCAATTCTCCTGCCTCAGCCTCCCGAGTAACTGGGATTACAGGCACACGCCACCATGCCCAGCTAATTTTTTGTATTTTTAGTAGAGACGGGGTTTCACCATGTTGACCACGTTGGTCTCGATCTCTTGACCTCGTGATCCACCTGCCTCGGCCTCCCAAAGTGCTGGGATTACAGGCTTGAGCCACCGTGCCCAGCCTCTTCCAGAGATATCTTAACCCTCAGCATATCCTGCTAAAGTGAGAAGTTTCTCATATCTCCCACCTTCAAGTACAGGTCAAGTTATTCTTTTTTTTTTTTTGAGACGGAGTTTCGCTTTTGTCACCCGGGCTGGAGTGCAATGGCGCGATCTCGGCTCACCGCAACCTCCGCCTCCTGGGTTCAAGCAATTCTCCTGCCTCAGCCTCCTGAGAAGCTGGGATTACAGGCACGCACCACCATGCCCAGCTAATTTTTTTTTTTTTTTTTGACGGAATTTCGCTCTTGTTACCCAGGCTGGAGTGCAATGGCGCGATCTCAGCTCACCGCAACCTCCGCCTCCTGGGTTCAGGCAATTCTCCTGCCTCAGCCTCTCGAGTAGCTGGGATTACAGGCATGCGCCACCATGCCCAGCTAATTTTTTTTTGTATTTTTAGTAGAGACGGGGTTTCACCATGTTGACCGGATGGTCTTGATCTCTTGACCTCGTGATCCACCCGCCTCGGCCTCCCAGAGTGCTGGGATTACATAATTTTTTGTATTTTTAGTAGAGACGGGGTTTCACCATGTTAACCAGGATGGTCTCGATCTCTTGACCTCGTGATCCACCTGCCTCAGCCTCCCAAAGTGCTGGGATTATAGAGCATGAGCCACCGCGCCCGGCCAAGTTATTCTTTTTTGTTGTTGTTGAGATGGAGTCTCACTCTTGTCACTAGGCTGTAGTGCAGTGGCCCCATCTTGGCTAACTGCATCCTTCACCTCCCAGGTTCAAGCAATTTTCCTGCACCAGCCTCCCTGAGTAGCTGGGACTACAGGCACACGCCACCCCACCCAGCTAATTTTTGTATTTTTAGTAGAAACAGGGGTTTCACCGTGTTGGCCAGGATGGTCTCTATCTCTTGATTTCGTGATCCACTCAACTTGGCCTCCCAGAGTGCTGGGATTACAGGCATAAGGCTCC